ATGATTAGCGCGGTATGGGCAGCTCTTGCAGTTTCAGACAAGGCTTTTCCAATTTCAGCAAGAAATCCAGGAAATCGAGGAATGAGGCTGGGTCAACGCCGATTGCCAAAAGAGCCTTTTTTGAGGCACCTTGCGTCCGGGTCGAGCCCTGCCGTCGTTAGAAGACCGCATGGCGCGCGGCAAATGAAACATAATGCGCTCGAGACGAGGACTACAAATGCTGCCGAGAATGAACAGCGAGCGCTCATTGTGGCAGGCTGTCAAAACCTCGGCGACCGGAGAGACTAAGAACAGAAAAAAAAAGTTACAGTTCTCTTCCGTTGTGGAAGTTTTATGTAGTTACAATAAATAAAGGCGAGTTCCATATTGACTCCCTATTTGCTTTCTAGTTGCTATTTCCTATGGAAATAAAGATCCCCGTGATTAGGCCTACCATGCATAGCATTCTCAATAAAGAAAGTTAAGTTAGCAGTTGTAGGTTTACCTGCTGCCTGGAAATTAACTTTATTTATTTGTATATTGAATTGACTAATTTAAAAATGCCTTAAGCTCCGGGATATTTAATAAAGTTTTATATATAACTTATAATTATATACTCTTAAGGTTTTTACCATATCTAATCTTTAATTAATGAAAGATTATAAGACTTCATGCAGTCACCCCTTATCTTACTCCATTTTCTTCCTAAGGTCAGGAAAAGAATATTTATCTTATTCTTTCATTAAGAGCTTAAGCTCGCTATATTAAACCTATAAAAGTCTTCAGCTTTCAAAATGTTATCTTTCGCATTCGGCCATTCGCTAGCCTTTACGAAAAGCATTTCAAAAGTTTTCATTTTCTCTTATTTGTTGAAAAAAGGAAGAGGAAATGGCACATTATTTAGATAAATAGGTGCAGGCAATGTGTGCACTTTTTCGAAAATCGAAAGAAGCTCTTTTGAGGGGCGCAGCGGAAACTTAATTCAGAAAGCGAAGACAAGGAATAGGGCTCTGTGCTCTAGAAAGAACTTCCTTGAATTCAATGCCTTATTTGAAGACAAGACGGTTTGCTATTGATATTAGCTTGTGGGACTTCGGTGCCTTTAAGCGGAAAGAGGGGAATTTTCTTTCTGGCGCTACGCTCCTTTCTTATTCTTTTTCTGTCTCTGAAGTGAGTGAAGTCAAGCTAGCGTCTAGCAAATCGGACATAAACGCAATACACGTAAATCCCGTCCTTTAGAAAGACGATAGCGATTCTCTTTCCAGTGCTTTAAATTAAGAGTTAAAAGATATAACCTAATAAGAAAAAATTGGTAGGAATACCCGGAGCGTAGCTCTATCGAACTTACCTCAGCGAATTTCCTATCGGGCTTCGAGCCGAAAAAGAGTTGAAATGGAACCCGTAATAGATCTAGCTTACGAAATCTTTCTTATAAGACAGTCATCGATTGACTGCTATTCCCACTTCTGAGGAAGTTGAAAGGCTGGAAAGCACGTTCTTTTTCCCTAGGTTGGGACTTCAGATAGTGTGGCAAGAAAAATTTCATAGTAAAGATATGTATACAAATGTTAGGAATAGAATTCTATTCTTAGATCGGAGGAATTCCGGGGTAAGAGTACCTTCTTGCTTTCTAAACCTCTAGAATAAAGCGACGTGGCAGAGAGTTGTCTTGATCATCTACAGTAACTTTTATTCCTTCGATTCTGTAGATTGAAAGATTCACTATTGGATAGTTTAAGGGGCTAGGAGGGCTAGACTTTTAAAGGCTCGAACTACCCCTAGTCAGTAGAAAAAAAATTTGTAAAAAGTTGGAATAGCAGACCACAATGGAAAACAAGGCATTTCATCACCGCCGTGGAGCCAGGCTAATTAAAGAGCGGAATCTTCTGCCGGGGTTTCATTCCTACATATAAAGAAAGAGAGGGGGCTTTCTTCATTAAATGAAGGGATTTCCTTTTCCGGAACTAAAAGAAGTCCAGCTATATAGATAGATATTTCCAATCCAGCGGCAACTTCATTATTGTTTTTTCTGTCTAGTAATAAGCTAATAGGGCCTCATCGATTAACAATCTCTTTTTAGAGCCAAGGACTGGGCACGAATCTATCCCTAAGCTATGACTTTTTCGCTAAAAAGATAGAAAAAAGGGGATCTCTAACTTAACCAAAGAGTTATCGGCACGGGCGTTCGTTAAGATCACCCAACTATTAAAAAAAAAAAAAAAAAAAAAGTGGTACAAAGGTTGTATTTGAATTAGCAATCTCAATTTGCATCCAACTCATATAAGAAATTAGGCTTCTAGGCTAAGCCATTGCTGGCTTCCATTATTTCAAAATGATTTTAGATTAGTCAAGTCATCCCATTTTCGAAATCATTCTTGCTAAAATAATCATTGGCAAACCAATGAGATCAGAGCCATGGTCCAATCAACTGAACCAAGTGTGCGTAGCAATTGGTAAAAAGATTATTATATAACTAAATATCCACGTACATCCTCATCATGTGTATTGCTTAATGATCCAGTGCTGCAAGAGTCGGTCAAGTCATCAAAGTCACTGCCTCCTTGAAAAATTTCACCCTCTGGATTCCATAAATACCGGCTCATAAAATAACTTGTGTCGTATGCATCAGCTACTGGTATGAACGTAGCCTGCAGCGAATAAGAGAAACTTGGTGAGCATTCCAAGCAAGATAAATATTTTTGAAATTGAGTACATTCGTAGATAGACAACCTTTTGCCTTGCAAGTGTGTCCCAATTTATGTTCCTAAAGAAGGGGTGTTGCTTCACCTGCAAGAAAGACAAGCTGCTTAATTTTAAGATCCTCGCTACTTTTATAATGTCTTTATCAATGATTATTGGGAGTGTACCTCTTTTGCTCCTGTTGCTCCAAGCCTTTGAACTGGATTTTCAGTCAGCAATCTGAAAATGATAATCCTGAAATTGTTAAATGATCATGTTTGTACTAAAGCAGTTAGGACTCACAAACCACTGGTCAATATGTAAGACAATGGGGGTGACCATAATATCAATGCCTAAGGAATTGCAAACTCAGATATGATAATTGCTCATCAAATCCCAAGAATCTTCCATACAAACCCTAATTTACTTCCTCATCAAATAGCCTAAATTATTAATCACATGTACTTCTCATAATGCACGCTAGCAACCAAACAGCCCAATACCTTGCCTTGTCTTGATTTTGATCCCTAACTTACATCTTTGCAAACCCTAATTGTCCACATATAATTTCTACACCTCTAGTCTTCAAATAAACATGAATGCTAAGACATGAAACCTGTACTACATCAAGGTCATCCTTGAATTTAAAAATACACCAAAAAAAATGAGTCATAGGTAGCACTAAAAGCTAGTAAACTATAGAAATTCACGTATCTTACTTGTCTATCAAATCACATGCTTCAAAGCTCATCTCCTCAGGTACCTTGGGCCAAGGTATATCCCTATTCATTATATTGTCAAATATTTGCTGCAAGAAATAGGAGCCATTAGTCTGCATCAAGCTGCACACAAGTATATAATGCTTTAACATTTAAAGAACACCTCTCACTCTTAGAAGCTTAATAGACTCTAGGAATTAACAGAGCAAAAAATAGAAACGTAGATTTTGGTGCCATATTTATCAAGTTACGCATTCCATGCATTTTTCTTAGCAAGCCAGAATAAAAATATTGGAAAAGGTAGCTTATGCTAGCGTGCATTTCTTGGTGCTATGTAGTAAGGAGCCTCAAAGAGGTCCTCCGGAGGAAGGATTAAATCCTTAGGAGCCATATGTCCAGTTCAAGGATATCAATATGGAAGGCATTTATAAACAGTCACGCTGGACTATGAGGTTAAGAAAGCAACTTCAATAATGGTAGTAATTTATTGATTTGCACAGTAAACAACAGCATCACGAACGAATCAAGCTCTTCCCTGCTATCCAAAACCATTGAAGAGTTAATACTGGCATCTGTGGATGGCCTACCTGTGGAGTTTCTGCATTGAATGGTGGAAGGCCAACAAGCAACTCAAAAAGAATAATGCCCACAGACCACCAATCAGCAGTTGCACCTACAAGGAAAATATGAGGACAGATGAGACCACTGAAAACCGAAACAATAAATTCACTATTTAACTAGAAAAATAAGTTAAAAACCATGTCCCATGCCAAGAAGTATCTCAGGTGCCAAATAATCAGGAGTCCCAACTACAGAATGCTTTTGGCGCTGGTCTCTCTTCGATGAATTATGACTTTTTGTTTCGTGGTCATCAAAAAAATCAGTACTGCTGAATGATGTACCAGATAAGTCATCTGTGCTATTGATAAGACCAACCTTTGAAAGCCCAAAATCTGTCAGCTGTAAAAAAGAGATTATAGATTCCAAAAAGTGATCTGGAAATATGGCAATGCCAAGTTCAACAAAAATGCCTAAAAATTGTGGGAAACCAAGAGGAAGCATTTGACAGTGTCACTTATAGTTTATATAGAACAGGAGGCAGTTCTCATACGCATAACAACCTACTAATCTTTTCAAAAAATGACAGAGATTCAAGTTTAAGTGTCTTTCAGAATAAAACATTGGATGACAGTTATCATTCTCGAGAGGGTATGTTGAAGCTACAAAAACAACAATAATGGCGAGCTAACAAGTCGAGTTGAATAACAATATGTCATAGTAATTACAGGAGTTCAGGAAAATGTTTGCAATGACTACATCCAAACTAACAATTATATGTACACTGTACAGAAGTACAAAGAGAATAGACCATAAAGTAATCAAATTTCAGTACACTATTCCATGAATACTCATCTCAAAAGATATGGAACCTCTAATAAATTGCAAACATGTATGAAATATCACTAAAAGAATGCCAATCCTTTCAAAGACGTGGTATTTATTAATTTATTCTTTTGGTGGTGGGGGCAAAGAAATGACAAAGATTAAAATTTCAAAGTATCAACCTTAAGATGGCCATCTTGACCAATCAACAAGTTGTCCGGCTTCAAGTCTCTATGAATGACACTTAGAGAATGCAAATACTCCAAAGCAAGAACCTGGGGAGAATAAAACCAACTTTTTGTACCTTGGTAAGAAAATTTTATTGATTGATAGATGGTACACGAATCCAGGAAACAGCAAGCATAAAATTCTTACAACTTCTGCAATATACATACGGGCCATGTCTTCATCCAAGCAGCCCAAGTTTCTCAATAGTGAGTAAAGATCTCCACCATTTAGATATTCCATGACCAGATACAGATTTTCCCTACATGTGAAGGAGTAGAAAAATCTGACCTGTTTGTCATTAAACATATACATATTAGAATAACATTTTAACATTCAGTGAAACCCAATAATGCTAAGACATTATGAATTTTGCTCACCACAAAAGGATAGCGAACTGATATAAGGATGTTACGCTCTGCCAAAATACTTTCAACCGCATTTTTACGAATCATATCAGCCTTCTTCAAAACCTATAACAACATTTTGAAATTTACAAAAAAAAAAAAAAAAAAAAAAAAAATCCTTGACAAACTCACACCATCCATTTCAAATAGGATTTGTCCCGTAGACACACGAGCAATCCAACCCGTAGGATTTCCTTTTCCTCTTCCCATTCGAACTTCTGCGGGTTTCCCCGTAATAGGAAGATCTGCGAAAACTCTTACCCATATCTTACAATTTCTTCGGAATTGTCCGCTCATAGCACGATGGAATTGCCCGATTATAGCCCGACGCGCTGCTTCAATGGCTCGATATGAAAGACGACCAGCTCTACAACTTTTAATACCATATCTTCCAAAACCAAGTTGTGTACCATCCAGTTTGCAACCCTTACTACATCTACCTTCACGATATTTACTATATTTCGTACATTTCAGATATAGCATGTCCCCCCCCCCTTTTTTTTTACTATATGAAATCCACACTTTCTGAGATTCCGTTTAAACGAGTAGATACTTCGCAGGGGAAAAAGGGCGGCAATAAATCGATTTTTCTGGTTAAATACATTACGAGATGTTTTCCATACTTTCCAGCATTCAGTTCTAGCTATTCTTGCGCTGTAATCGACGCTGAAACATTATACGGATCCCCTCCACCCCTTTTTCATTACCTAATGGAATCCCTTCACCTATTTTTACTAAAAATTCGGAACGAAAATGATCTTGTTTTGTTCCTCAGTTGAAAGAGATGTCTTTTTCCGTTGGAGCAATCGAGAAGCACTTTGATATAAACAGGATTTAATCTTGACCGACTCAATTAAGGTATTAGTGTTTGTTCTATTAGACAACAAAGATCGCATTTTTTCATTTCGTTTTCAAATTAAGAGTTGTACCCGTACGGAATTCTTCTGTTTCTCAGTATGAATCTCTATCAACTCCATCTCTATTCCCCTTTATCAATTCTCCTATCCCCACCTAGGTTTATGAATTCTCTATTCAATTCCATTACTTATCCTTACCCATTGAGGTTCCAACATTTGATCCTTAATTGGACCTAGGAGTTGTTCCCGGGGCATCCTGGTTATTATACACCCCAACCCCATCCTTGGAAAGAAAAAAGGTAGCACCGAAGAAAGGAAAAAAAAGCCGAGATGGTGGTTTTTGTTGTTCCGCGAAGCGAAGATCCATTCGTTTGGCGAAATGATAGTGAGTTCAACCTCTTTATTGGCTTCGGACAAAAACACTTTTTTTTCGCTGGTCGAGGCTTTCTACAAAAAAAGCCGGATGCGAGAAGCGGTTAATTCTCTTATCTAAGCTTCTTTCCCTGTTGCATTCGCCCCCCCCATCGTAGATGGTTTTCAGCCACGCCCGGTGCCACGAAAAATTTGATTTGAGAACTTACGACGGCGGTCGAAATGAATTGTTCTTTGCTACTTCAATAAATATTGCATGACCGAATAATTCAAGGCAGAGGCACCACTGTAGGGAGGGTCCTTTTTAAGGTAGATGACTCGTCGGGCCGTCGGAGCGGGAACTTCTTTGGGAAAAAGGAAACTTTTGAATAACTTCGTTTTTTCTTGAAGGAGTTCGTCATTTTCTTATCAGGGAACGCTATGTCATTTTACAATCCCCGGCGTATCTTCGGGATCTTGAAGGCCCGCTGACCCGAGTGATTTAGAAAAGATTCTTCTTTATCGATGGTGATCGGGTCATGGTTATCCATAGCGTTGCTTCTTTTTCGGCCAATCCTTGATTTCGTTTTCTTCTCCCGGGGTCGTCGAGCCTGATCGATCGAGTCTTTTTCCTGCCCCCCGGCCTCTCACTTCGTTTCGTTCTTCTTCTGTATTGTCGCTTGAATGAAACCACCTGATCGGCCCGACTCCCGAATGTCCACCACCGGCCCTTCTCCTTTTCCGGGGTCTAGTTTTTTTTGCGTCGTTTCAGCTCGTGCGTGGTCGGACGGGGGAAGAAAGAAATTAATGAATGTTTCTTTTGGGGGAAAATGTTTAAGGAAATACACCTAACCGAGACGAAAGCCAAGGTGAGTCTCGTAGGTGGACGTATCGAACGAAATTAAGATCTTCAGGATTGACATCTTGATTTACACTGATTTACCATAAATTAATAAATTTAGAGTCAATGTGACTCCGCCGTGGAAAGAAGACCGCTTCTTCTTGGCTTGATAGGGGGGGCTTCCATTCCACCAGCGCCAGACTAAAAGGTGGCTCTCCGAAACCGCTGCTGGATGTCACCCTCACACGGCTCTCACTCAAAACCCAACTGTGGTGGATCCCGGGGACAAAAGTTTCAAAAGCGCTTGATCTTTGCCCCATACTTTGAAATGCTCCTCCCCGCGCAGCGACGCTGCTCGTGATAGGCTTAGCTTTAAGCCGCTATCGGTTCTGTTCGGATTAAGTCAAGTCCCTTCGGTCGGTTACGCTCAGGGGGTCTTACCGCTCCGTGGCTTTCCCTAGCGTTCAACATGAGACTACTTCATACACCAAGCTAATCAACTAAGATTTTTTTATTACCGATAAAAATAAAGTGTTTTTTTTTTTAATTTGCTTTTGTGTTTGAAATAAGTAATTTTTTATTTTTTATTTTTTATTTATTTATTTGAAATATATCTCGTACGTTCCGTATTTCGTGTCCAAACTTACTTACTAATAAAGCGGCAACAAGCACCTTCTTTTTCAAAGTCAAATTTCTATGTCCGTGCAACCTAGCTCCTGATATAAATTAAGTATTTCTTATTTTATGGCTTGAGTTATTTGTATTTTAGTTAAATTTTAATTTAATTTAATGCATTATCTTAATGGGATGTAACTAATAGATATTATCATGATAAAAATGTTATTTAAAAATATAAAACAACTTATCTTCTTACAACCGTGCTAAATAATTATGTCCTCCTCATACTTGGCAATTTCAGAAGCTTACACTTGGCTTCCATATAATGCAAACTGCAACTCCACGATAGAGACATCATAAATTGGTCCACGGGCATCGCGATAAGTCCTCTATCCTACTACAAAGATCGTAAAGGTGGGAATCAGACTCGATGATAGGAGTTTCCAAACCTCAATAGAAGAAAGAGAAGGAGCACAAACCGCTGATGTTTTGGTAAAAGATTCTCTTGATTCGGGAGCCTGGTCTCGATTTTTTTGTGCAATAAACCGTTCCGGCTGAAGATTAGTGGTAGGTGGTCCCGTCCTTTTTTGAGTCTCAATCAGGAAAAGCCACCAGTAGGGATGATTTGAGGGCAAAGGCTAATAGAATAGATCGTGGGAGGACCCTCTCACTCGAAGAGAGATCGTTTTCTCTGATTTTTTTTAGCTAAAAAAGAAAAGAGGCTGAACCCATTGTAGGAAGTTTACTTCTCTTCAGTGTAAGTCCCATCAAGTTGCCTTATAAAAAGAGGGTAGGTTGAAACCTGCAATAAAACGGCAAATTATCTAGATTGGCTTGCTCGAAGAAGGATTTTTCTGCAACTGGCGAGAAGGCAAAAGCGCTTAGGACTTGCTTTCTTTCAGAACTAAATTACCATCCCTTTCAAACTAGGGATTTAAGCACGGAGGAGGACAAATGGACAGATGTTCGCAAGAAATTGGGTTGTGACAGTATTCTTCCTTTTCCCTCCTCTGACCTACGATCAGAATCGACTTCACCTGATGGAAGAGGGGCAGTCCTCGGCCCGATCATCCAATTTGCTCCAACAGAAAGGCATGGTTCTATAGTCAAAGCGGATCAATTCCAACAAGCCTTTCAAACTAGTACTTTTTGTAATTGACTCTATAGCTTCTTCAATAAACACTAGTTCTTCGATCAACGGCTCTCCGACCTCACATAATCGAACCGAATTTAGTTTCAGGAAAAACCTACTCTTTCAGGCTTTCGCTTACCTTGGAAGGAAATCACCCCCCTCAACTTACGACTTAAGGTGCTCTGCGATAGGCTTTCAATGATTCGTTATTAAGAAAGTATAAGAAGGGGCTTAATTCACTTTATAAGGTGTCTTAGAAAGAGCTTTACCGTATCTATGCTACGGTCAACATAAATCTAAGTGATGCTGGGGTTGGTCAGGGAACCGGATCGATAGGCAGATTCCTTAGTGATCTAGAGCCATACAAGCATCCTTTCGCCCAACTCTATACGTAGATTCATTCCTCAGATAGGGACCGGCCGGAAGGAAGGAGAGAGACCGAATCAAGGCTGCTTCAGCCGAACCATTTAAAAACTAGGAAAAGAGGGCTAAGCTCACAGCTTGCATACTTCAGTTACCTCGGGCAAGGTCTGGTCAAGGGGATCGCGCTAGCCAGCTTGCATGAGTCAGGATGGCTCCTTACCAACATAAAACTGAGAGACCTAGTCCTAAATAAAGCACAGATAGCTACCCCAGGTAAGTTTGTAAAGCTGGCCTGGCATGGTACTGGCATTTTGTAGACGTGGTTCGGTTTTTGGCCACTGCTTCCACAGCAAGACAGGAGTAGAAGTGAGTGCTTCAGGCTCCCTGAGTTTTAAGTAAGAAAAGAACCTTCCGTTGGTCGCTGGTCTTCTAGTAATGGTGACTGTCTGCTTCGTTTCCAATGCATATTAGTCATCCATGAGCTATTTAGGATCCGATCTATAGCGCGCCCAGATCAGCGGATCTGGTGGTCAACAATCGTTTGGACTTGGTAAAGGTTGTCGCGGCACCTAGTTCACTCTAAGAAATATAGCCCCCCTACCCCCTCGGGAGTACAAATGGTAGTGGGTTTAACAACTGGGCTAAAGGTTTCATGAAAACCCACTCTAGCCTGTTGTTTAAAACCTTGAGCAACCAGGCGAGCGCTCTAAGCAGTTACATTTTTTTTAGTACTTTCTTTCTAGCCCTTACTCTAGGAAAGAAACTAGGTTAAGAAAAGAATCATAAGCCCCTAACTGCTATGGAATGAGATCATTTTTTAACACCACCTAGACTCGATTTGATCTCTTGGTCTTGTCTAATAGAAGTCACTATCTTGCCTAGCATATCTACCGGGAGCAAGAGCACATCCAAGTCCCATATTCAATTAAATCAATCTAGTAACGCTCACTACTGAGGTGAAAGAAAGAAGCAAGATACGGCCGAAGATTCTCGCACGGGAACAAGCGTAGACCCGCCATTGAAAGGTGACTAAAACACCAGAAACGGGGACTACCCGAGCTAGTGATAGAGGCACCGAACCGCCGACAAATAATAGGTACAGCTGCTAAAGGATATTTATCTCTAATCCAATGGATGCTTGAAAGTGAGGTAAGCCGATCCGCGGCCAATTAGCCCTTGTTTCCACGGGGTGCATTCGCTTGTGTTGCTAGGAAATGGCTAAGCCTTTTTTTTTATCGAGACTTTCACCTGCGCAGTCGATAAAGTCAAAAGAGAGACCAACGGATCGATTCAGTTGATCAGAGCAGCTTTGGAGATGATG